TTTTTGGCTTGGCTAATTTTTTTCATACTTGACAGGCAGGTCGTACCATCACTAATTGGAAAAACAATCCTGACCCACCGCTACCATGGCAACAGCCAAAGTCTTGTAATAGCAGTGCCCAAATGATCATGCCTTTTAATTTGGCTACGTTGCGCACTGGTAAGAGATCGCCGGCGCCGACATTGTTACCACTGTCATTTGACTGGTAAGCAAGATTCATGTAATCCATGGCTAACAAGCAACATCACAAGCGAAGTTGTAGCATGCAGTACTAGTAAGTCATCCCGTCAGTGGAGTACCGCAATAACACAGCATGTTTGCCATCAGCATTGTATTCAAACGAATCACGTGGTGTGCCGTTCTCGTTCAAACCCGGGATTCGATCAATAGGGGAGTCCCAGTAAAAAAACACATTGCAAATCATGCAAGTTCAACATTTTCAAACCAATATACTAAAACAGAAATGCTCAGAGATGCAAATGAAGGATAGATATTACTTTACACTATACACATCTCTGTTGATACTTTCCCTCACATATTCTACTCCCAATTACTCCTGCGTAAAATGGACTAGCCTCTTTTCATGTTGACATTCAGAGTAAAATCATGTGACAGGCTGTTAAAATTGGCTGTTGCATACTCTTTCGCCGGTCTGGAAAATGTGTTTAATTAACTCGCATTCAAGCAGATGCAGATTTCCCAGTGGGAGTGAGACTATTCGACTCTGCCACTAAAAAATAGGGGTGTTTTCAGCAAAAAAACGAATAACCCTAGAATACACACAATATACTGAATTTCGGAACAAATCGTGCATTACTTACAGCAGCAGAATACCACAGAAATAGCAGACGAAACATGAAAACACTATATATTGTATTTCAGCCTGAACCCTCTATATTGCAATTCAAGGAATTAACCCCATATGTGCATCCATTTCCCACCTTGGTATCACCCACCCCTGAAAACAAACTCTTAATACCACGCTGAAGCGTTTGGTAATTAGAGCGACAGCATGCAAAGTCCTTCATTCGGCCGGAGTTGAGACAAGGCATATCATGTACGTGCCACAAACACGATGCCAGAATTCGATCTTACACCAACAAACTTACTCTTCGGTCGAACCAAGTACCGCTGAACGTCAAATATCCACTGTTACAAGTAGTATGATGAGTTAGAGAACAGGTTTATTTCACAACTGTACTTTCAATGGGCCAATTACAGTCCAAATTGTACAAAAACCAGAATGAAAACCTGAATAATCCGTTGTTT